ACAAAAAACCAACCATGGAAGAGAAAGAAGAGCATATTTCTGAAAATAATTGACTATGGAATCTAAAAGAAAAATTTTATGACCGATTTAGCATCCTTTTGAAAGAAGATAGGACTTCCATAAAACCAGAATATAATTCATAAGGAAATTAAAGGATGAACTAGAGATCAATAGGGTGAGGAGAGAGAGAGAGAGAGAAGATACAAAGAAACAAAAAATCTCAACATAAACTTGAATCAAAATAGAGGCAGAAATAGTGCTTTGGGAAGCCATATAGGTATCAATAGAGCAAATTTGAGGTCTACCGGAATGCTGAGAAAGGATAAAGAGATGAAAATGATAAAACAAAACAGAACTACCACAGATGATTGCTCTTCCTAAAAGAGAGACCAGAGCAAATGGAGCAGAAACAATTCTTGAAGACAGAATGAAAGAAAACCTTCCTGAGTTGAAGCCATATAAATATGCAGATAAAAAGGACTCAGATGTCAACTAGATATAGAAAGCGTTACTCATTCTTAAATTGCAAAAATTTCAGTATAACCAGAGTATTGAGTACCAGGGGAAGAGAGAACCAGGTAACGAAAAGCCTTTTATACTGTGCTGAAGAATTTTCTTTTTAAAACAGGAAGCAAAGTCGTATATGAAGAGAGGGAAATTATTATTTTTTTTCTTTCAACCCTTTATTTTTTTTTCGTTAAATTTTTATTTTGTCAGGCCGGCCCGTGGCTCACTCGGTAGAGTGCGGTGCTGATAACACCAAGGCCACGGGTTCGGATCCTATATAGGGATGGCCGGTTTGCTCGCTGGCTGAGCGTGGTGCTGACAACACCAAGGTACAGCACTCTTAGCTAGAAGTTTTTCTTTCAGCACTTTGAATATGTCAAACCACTCTCCCATGGCTTGTAAGGTTTTTGCTGAGAAATCTGCTCTTAATCTGATGAGAATTCCGTTATAGATGGCTTGATGCTTTTTCTCTTCTTGTTTTTAGAATCTCTCTTTGTTCTTGACTTTTCAATATTTGACTACTTGACTACAATTTATTTCAGAGAGGACCTTTCTGGGTTAAATCTATGTGGGAAGTTTGAGCCACTTAAAGCTGGATGTTTATATATCACCCAATTCTTGGAAAGTTTTTGGCTGTTTTTTTGTTAAATACATTTTCTATGTCTTTCTTATTCTTTTCCCTTTTTGAAACACCCATAATATGAATACCATATGCTTAAAGTTGTCCCATAAATTTTATAGGCTTTCTTCATTTTGTAAAATTCTTTCTTTCTCTCTCTCTCTCTCTCTCTCTCTCTCTCTCTCTCAACAGGATTATTTCTAAAGCCCTGTCTTCAAGTTAAAAAATTCTTTCTTCAGCATATTCCTTAAGATCTTAGTTGTATTTTTTATTTTATTTGATAAATTATTCAGTTCTAAGATTTCTGTTTGGTTCTTTTTTAATGTTATCTATCTCTATTGAACTTCTTCTTCAGATCATAATTTTTTTTCCTGATTTTGTGTTCTCTATCTGTATTCTCTTGCATCTTGCTGAGTTTCCTTAAGATATTTATTTGGTGTGTGTGTGTGTGTGTGTGTGTGTGTGTGTGTGTGTGTGTGGGTGAATTAGTTTGTTTGTTTTTTTTTTTCTTTTTCTTTTTTTTTTTTTTATACCATAGAAATACCTTTTATTATTTTTTTTTTATTATTTTGTCAATATACACTGTATATGATTATTATGGCCCATCACCGACACCTCCCGCCCTCCTCCCTCTCTCCCCTCCCCCCCCAGGAATGTCCTTTCCGTTTGCTTGTTGTAACAACTTCATGGAAGTATAGTTGTTATATCTTCTTCCCCACCCCACCCCCCTCCGGTTTTTGTTTTTTTTGTGTGTGTGTGTGTGTGTGTGTGTATGTGAGTGAATTGATTTGTTTTTTGTTTTTATTTTTTTTTAGCTCCCACCAATAAGTGAGAACATGTGGTATTTCTTTTTCTCTGCCTGACTCGTTTCACTCAGTATTATTCTTTCAAGGTCCATCCATGTTGTTGCAAATGGGAGTATTTCCTTCATTTTTATAGCTGAGTAGTATTCCATTGTGTAGATATACCACATTTTCTGTATCCACTCATCCGATGATGGACATTTGGGTTGATTCCAGCTCTTGGCTATTGTGAAGAGTGCTGCAATGAACATTGGGAAACAGGTATACCTTCGACTTGATGATTTCCATTCCTTTGGGTATATTCCCAGTAGTGGGATAGCTGGATCGTATGGTAGATCTATCTTCAGCTGTTTGAGGAACCTCCAAACCATTTTCCATAGGGGTTGCACCATTTTACATTCCCACCAACAATGTATGAGAGTTCCTTTTTCTCCACAACCACGCCAGCATTTATCTTTCAGCGTCTTTTGGATTTTGAAGAGAGGGAAATTATAATTGATATAGGGCTTAGTGGTAAGGGCTTGTGGCAGCAATTACTGAAAATGAGAGAGGTCACATAAAAGGGTCGCATAAAGGGATTACTAAGAGGCACCAAGACTCTCCACTGTGGTGGATGTCCCTAAATTTGTAGTCGCATAGCATCATTCTTGTATAGTTGTGTGACTTCACCCTTCCCCCACCTCCAAAGAAGTGCTTGAAGGGCCGGCCCCGTGGCGAGAGTGCGGCTCTGGTAGCGCCGAGGCCGCGGGTTCGGATCCTACACAGGGATGGCCGGTGTGCTCACTGGCCGAGCGTGGTGGGGACCGCCCTGTGCCAAGGATTGCGATCCCCTTGCCGGTCAGGGAAAAAAAAAAAAAAAAAAAACTTGAAAATGCAGATGTAGGAGTGGAAAATGTAGATAACTGGAATGATTGAAGGTGGTGTCTGGATGTTAGGATGTGGCACAGGGAGCTCTACGTTACAAGAGTGGTTGAAATAAAAGGCTATGGGTTTAAGTTGGATAGGAGGTTTATAGGATGTGAGATCTCTGTGGTCTCTGAAGAACAAGTATGTTGGGACTAAGAGACATAGTACAGCAAGGATGAGGATTGTGGGTCCAAATAAATTGAATTGGAAAATTTAAGGTTTTAGAGATGGAGCAGTATGAGGTGATAAAGGTCTAGATTTTCTAGACTTTATGAGTCTGGAAATGGGTGGACAATGGAGAAGTAAAGGTCATCTGGGTGAGGAAGTTAAGAAAACATGTCTCAGTCACAGATGTTGGATTCATTCGGATAATGGCAGTAAATCAGGCAGAGAGCAAAAGTAATGCCAGGCAGTCAGTAGGTGGCAGTGACAAGGGGAGTTATAAAGTGGTAGTACCGGGCTGACCCCCTGGCTCACTGGGAGAGTGCGGCGCTTGTAGCGCCGAGGCCGCGGGTTCAGATCCTACACAGGGATCGCCGGTGCGCTCACTGGCTGAGCGTGGTGCAGACCACATCGTGCAGAGGGTTGCAATCCCCTTACCGGTCACACACACACACACAAAAAAGTGGTACTACCAGATAGCACGGACCCTGAAAGAGGTATTTCTCAAGGGGAAAAAAAGCATAAAAGTGTCAAGTGCGAAAGCTCCAAGAGTGAAGAGGACATACTACCTTTGGAGTCGGTGGATGGAGTGCGGGAAGAGAGAAGTCAAAAGAGTAGACGAAGACGTGTTAATGCTTTAGGACGGTGGACAGACGTTGGTACCATCAACCTATTTGAGAAGCCCAGAGGGGAAGTTTTGTTTTCCAGGTAGAAGCTTCATTTGAGGCCGTGGAGAATGGTTAGAGGTTAGGGCAATGGTTGAAATTGACTAGGCAGGGAGAGAGGGAGGCCTCAGAGGAGCAGGTTCAGCTGAACTGGCTCTGGAAGGGCTTTGAAGGCCAAGTCAGGGGCTGGAAGGCAGAGGTCCATGTGCTGCGCGCCACCTCTGCCTCCTGGTGTGTCCATGTGTGGAAGGCTGGAAGGCCCACGAGACCAAGCTCCTGCCCCGGACCGAGGGGCGACCCAATCCCTGACCCTCAAACCCCAGGATCCCTGAACCTGGAACGTCCAGCGCGTTCCTTCCTTCCCAGCGGGAGGGCGGCTGAGGGCGCAGGCGCTCTAGCTGGCCTGGGCAGGCGGGTGGCAGAGGGCGCAGGCGCCATGGACATAGCGGCCGAGGTGGGAACGGCCGGCAGAGGGCGCAGGCGCTCTGGCCAGAGCCGCCGGGGCGGGGCACCCTCGCCGGGAGAGTAGAGGACAAGGGTCGGTGGGACAGCGGGCTCCGCGCGAGGCCGTGGACGGTGGGCGGGACCAGGGCGGGGAGGGGCGAGGCGGTTCCGGAAGGAAGTAGTTCCGGGTCTTGCTGCCCGAGCGTGATATCCGTGATACCGCTGCTATTGGAGACGAGGACCGGCTGACTGGCGAG